GGAGGGAGGAGAGACAGAGGGAGAGAGGAGGAGAGACAGGGAGGGAGGGAGGGAGAGAAAGCGCTCGCTTGGGCAACTTCCAGCGTCTCCTGCTGGGCGACAGTCACAAGCTCAACACTCTCTAGAACAAAGCTCCCAGGGCGCAGGCGACCCAGGGCATGGGAGGCTGGCCGGGAGCCCCGTGGGGACCCCCAGCCCCCAGCCCACTCGGCCTGCGAGGCCCCAACCCGGGTCCTGCCTCTGAGAAGCGGGGACACGTGCGCCTTTCTTTTCAGACTCAGTTCTTGGAACTTACACCCTCTTCGCTTTGCTATTTTTACCCACCCCGAGCCTTCCGGTCTCCATGGCGACGTCTCCAAACAGCAGATTCCAGGCGGCAATGACGTCACCTTCCCCTTTCCTGCCGCCCAGGCCTCTGGAGGCCCTGCTGCTGCTGCTGCCCAGGCCAGAGGCTGCAGGCTCCCCAACACCCCTCCCCCCGGCCCCCAGCAGCCCCCATGACCGACCACCAGGCTGGCTGTCAGCATTGTCTGTCCTTCCTGGCCCTCAAGAAGGCGGCTCTGCAAAGCCAGGGGCAGGGGTGTAGGCACTGGCCCAGGGCGTCAGCACCCAGGGCCCCACTCTGTCAGGCCCAAGAGGGGCCATAGAGCAATCCACCCTAGCAGCTGAGAAGAAGGGTCAGGTGGCACGAGGTCGTAGTCTGTCCTGGCAGGCCCTGAGGCAGCAGAGGCTGCTAGGGGACCAACCGACTGCGGTCCAGTTGGTAGAGGCCCTTTGGTGGGCTCGGGATTTCCTAACTCGGGGAGGGGCATGGGTCCCCCTGCAGGGCCCATGCCCGTATCCTGGGTCATGGTTCCCGGAGTTGAGGTTGGGGAGACCCACCACTCTTGTCACCCAGCTTTGTCCCTGTCTAGAGTCACAGTGGCTTGGGCTGGCCCTGCTTCACCTGGCCCGCCCACACTGTAGCTAGGGCACTGGGTCTGTACAGCCGTCACCCTCACCTGCCTGTCCCTGCGTTCCCTGAGCCTGGAGAAGCACCCTACCCAGGGCACTGGCTTTGAGGTGTGTGCAGAAAATACCAGGAGTCTTGGGGTGCCCTGTCAGATGGGAAAGGCCTTCTTAGAGATCCCTGCACCCCTCAAAGGGCCCCAAAGGTGGTCTCCCTTGCCGGAGAAACCACCCCAGAAGGCAAGCCACAGGCCTGCGATTTTGAGACCCCAACACCTTACCTGGAGGTGCTGGGGTCCCCTTGCAGAGCTAGTGAGAGTAAACAAACCTTCACCCACCCCACCTGGCCTCAGGCCCAAAGGCAGGCACTGGGAGGAGGCCTGA